CAGACCTGCTGCTTGGTCAGTGGTACGTACACCTGAGAATGAGGTGCATACCTACACCGCGACGGATTCGGACACTGGATTAGAGCTGGCCCTACCACGAAGGCAAAGCGTCTGCAAAGTACGTGGTTGCCACTAAAGTCATCTGTGGCAAGTGGCGAGTGGCGCTCTGCTCGGAGACGTACTTACATGGAGAGAAGCATCACGGCTAAAAGTAAGACCTATATTGACCAGGGTATGCGTGTTGACTGTTGACTGCTGCAGCGTGTGCCTCGGCGCAAGCAGCACTGCACGATCCGGTTGAAGTCCATTTTGGAGATCTGTCTCGTTTGGTTGCTGAATTAGATTTGGAAGGGTCTTGCTGTGCATGAACCGTAACCACAAACTCTGCTGGCTCTTGATCTATGGGTTTCAAGTTTGTTTTCATAGTTTTGAAAGAAATTATAGAGTGGTTGCTGGTAATGACATTCAGAAAACTGTTAGTTTTGTCATTTGTATAGAAATATTTGTGCATTTTAGGAAAATAAACGACCCTGCAAGCCTTGAAACCTGGGCTGCGGAGTCGGAGTCGGAGTCAGTCGGAGTCGATATCTCTAGCCGAGGTCGGAGTCAAAGTCGGAGTCGATTGTGGAAGCCGGAGCCGGAGTTCGAGTCACCGAAAATCCCGCGACTCCGCGCAAATGCCAGGGCTGCGGACATGGAGTCGGGGTTAGAGTCGGTCAGAGTCGACAGCCATACCTGGAGTCGGAGTCGAAGTCGGAGGTGATAAGTGAAAGTCTGAATTGGAGTCAGAGTCAGAGTCACCGAAAATCCATCGACTCTGCATCCTTGCTTGAAACAGTACAGTTCACTAGACCGACCCACCACCATGAATAATAGCATCGATCTTTATGGCAGTTAGGCATAGCATGTCAGTAATGACGTCATAATCTGACAACTTGGAAAACATCAGAGGCGAGTGTTTGCCATAATGTTGCCGATGAGTATGTCGTCTAATATTCTAATTGTCACGAATGAGTTGCAAAGTCTTCTTGGCAAACATATCTTGTATGCTGCTAAAATGCATGTTTTTGCGAAAAAATGATGTCACCAACGCCCAGTGGTACCAAAAGGTACCACATCAAAAAAGGATATTTCTAGATTTCGCACATTTACCAAACTCACATGGTACTCTTAGGGGTCCATTTACTCCAATTAAGCAAATGGGCATCCGTGTGCGTTCGCTGGGGAATTACGGGCGTTAATGGGTTAAATCAGTCTCAGGGGCCTCCTCTGTCTAGTGTGAATATAAGGGCTTCCCAGGCCATCAGTCTCAGGGGACTCTTCTGACTGGTGCCGGATTGAGGGACCTCCCAGAACGAAATTTTGGGGGTCTCCTGTGGCTAGTATGAACAGAAGGGCCTCTCAGTCCATCAGTCTCATGGGCCTCTTCTGCCTGGTGTGATTATAAGGGCCTCTCAGGTCATCAGTCTCAGGGGCCTCCTCTGGCTACAGTGTAGATGGATAGGCCTCACAGACCATCAGTCTCAGGGGCCTCTTCTGACTAATGAGGATAGAGGGGCCTCCTCTGACTCGTGAGGGTAGGGGGCCTCGGCTAGACCGCCAGTGTCAGGGGCCTATTCTGACTAGTGTGGATGGAGGGGCCTCCCAGACCACCAGTCTCAGACCTCTGACTAGTGTGGATAGAGGGGCCTCCCAGACAGCCAGTGTCAGGGACCTCCCCAGACCAGTGTGGATATTGGGGCCTCCTCAGATCCACTAGGGCCTCTCAGGCCATCAGTCTCAGGGGCTTCGACTGACAAGTATGAACAGAGGGCCTCCTTGGATCCATCACGGCCCCTTGGAGTCCGTGCGTGGGGATTCGTGGAACTTAGGTATTTTTACCGAGTTTGTTTATTCTGGAAGGTGACGACGTCCTCTCAAATCGAGACGAGGGGCCTCGAGTAAAAAGTGGGTGGGCCAAAACACATGGTTGGCCCCCCCACCTCGAAAAGTGGGTGGGCACTTGCCCACCTGGCCCCCCCTGTTCCTACGCCTATGCATGTATTGCATGGTGTCTTTCCCATTTTCTCTTTAGGTAAGTTTGTCAAGAAGAAGCAGCAACTGTAAATTTGATCTTTGATGTTCGTTTGTGACCCTTGGCGTGACACAATTGTTTTTGTTACGGTACTTCACAATTTTGGCACCTGCAACGTAAATGTAAAATCTCACTCTACCCCTTGGTAATCAGCGGGTGGTCTTTTGTTGTGATCTTTCCTTTCCTGTTATTCCCGACTCTACAGCAATCAATTCGAACGTTATCGGTTGGGGGCGTTAAACGACCCCTATACTATACGTAACTCGGCAGTCTGGTATCAATCTCTTTAGTGCCCTGGTAGGGTGACCGGTTTTGCAAGAAGTTTCGAAAAGTTCTGCTCCCCAGGTCTAATCTAACGTATTTGGGGGTGCTGATCCCGAATCCGGCGGAAAAAATATAAAATTCGATTTTTTTTTTGACCGCCCCGGCTCTTTGAATATTTCCGGTTTTCTCAATTTTTGCATGTTCTTGAATAATATGATGAATGTAATGAAAAAATATGAACAATGTATCGCTAAATGCATGTACCAGTCGATTCGGCATACAGCGACGTCGAAATCGGCACGCCGCCTGCCTCACCGGCCTCGCAGGAAAGCATAAGGCTCGGAAGGTTTGCGTTAGTTACCCGATTCTCTCCATAGATGGCGCTGGCGTAGCCGCCCGCCGGCCGGTCGTTGCCGTGCCGTTTACAGCCCCGGCGGTCACTTGCGACCGTCGTGGTCGTTATGCTACGTCTATCAAAGCACGACAGAAATGTTCACTTCATTTTTATGTTACTTCAGACATATTTTAGACCTAATGTTGAATTGGATAAATGACTATCGTGATTGGCGAAATAGTGGAGTGCGCTCGGGAGCCATTTACAATAGCGAGGAACGTAGGTGGATTGATCTGAGTAACATATGACACTGCGTTCACTGTTGATATGAAGTTTATTCACACTATGTAGTCAGGTGACATGAGAACAAAGTGACTAACATACCTTGTGTACGACACATGGACGAAGCTAATGCTACTTTTTCATTTTGTTTCGGTAGGCCCGTTTGTTCAGAGCGTAGCCGTCCTGTCGGTCTGCGCCTGTTACAGCTGTGACTGATTCGGTGGTCAGCTTTACAGCCCTTTCGGTGGATTGGGTATGGCAGGGGGCCCCCGTTTTAAGGGGAGTCTGTAGAAAGTCGCGCAACTCATCCTCGCTCATGTGTCGTACACAAGGGGGCTCAATGTCTCGGCCCTCGTCAACCGCTCGATGCATGTTAACCAGTTCCATATAGTTGTTCGCTTGAACGTTAATTTCCGGCAGCCGGACTTGTGCCGAATGGGCTGCTGCTGTGGCGGTGGGGGTGGCAGCTTTGGCGGCGGTCGTGGCGGCGGTGCCGGCGGCGGCGGCGGTGGTGGTGGTGGTGGTGATGATGGCCGCCGCCGTTTCAGACGCCGCTGCTGCTGTTGTGGCGGCGGCGGTGGCGGCGGTGGCGGTGGTGGTGGTGGCGATGGCCGCCGCCTCTGTCGCCGCTGCTTCTGCTGTGGCGGGGGCGGGAACGGCGGCTGCTCCTGTCGCTGCCTTTTTTGACGAATGCTCTGGATTATGCGGACTGCATCTACCCTAATGCCATGCCCCCGCCACATCAGAAGCAGGGGCGACAGAGGCGGCGGCCATCGCCACCACCACCACCGCCACCGCCACCGCCACCGCCGCCGCCGCCGCCGCCGCCGCCGCCACAACAGCAGCAGCGGCGTCTGAAACGGCGGCGGCCATCACCACCACCACCACCACCACCACCACCACCGGCACCGCCGCCACGACCGCCGCCAAAGCTGCCACCCCCACCGCCACAGCAGCAGCACATTCGGCACAAGTCCGGCTGCCGGAAATTAACGTTCAAGCGAACAACTATATGGAACTGGTTAACGTGCAGCGAGCGGTTGACGAGGGCCGAGACATTGAGCCCCCTTGTGTACGACACATGAGCGAGGATGAGTTGCGCGACTTTCTACAGACTCCCCTTAAAACGGGGGCCCCCTGCCATACCCAATCCACCGAAAGGGCTGTAAAGCTGACCACCGAATCAGTCACAGCTGTAACAGGCGCAGACCGACAGGACGGCTACGCTCTGAACAAACGGGCCTACCGAAACAAAATGAAAAAGTAGCATTAGCTTCATCCATGTGTCGTACACAAGGTATGTTAGTCACTTTGTTCTCATGTCACCCGACTACATAGTGTGAATAAACTTCATATCAACAGTGAACGCAGTGTCATATGTTACTCAGATCAATCCACCTACGTTCCTCGCTATTGTAAATGGCTCCCGAGCGCACTCCACTATTTCGCCAATCACGATAGTCATTTATCCAATTCAACATTAGGTCTAAAATATGTCTGAAGTAACATAAAAATGAAGTGAACATTTCTGTCGTGCTTTGATAGACGTAGCATAACGACCACGACGGTCGCAAGTGACCGCCGGGGCTGTAAACGGCACGGCAACGACCGGCCGGCGGGCGGTTACGCCAGCGCCATCTATGGAGAGAATCGGGTAACTAGCGCAAACCTTCCGAGCCTTATGCTTTCCTGCGAGGCCGGTGAAGCAGGCGGCGTGCCGATTTCGACGTCGTATGCCGAATCGACTGGTACATGCATTTAGCGATACATTGTTCATATTTTTTCATTACATTCATCATATTATTCAAGAACATGCAAAAATTGAGAAAACCGGAAATATTCAAAGAGCCGGGGCGGTCAAAAAAAAAATCGAATTTTATATTTTTTCCGCCGGATTCGGGATCAGCACCCCCAAATACGTTAGATTAGACCTGGGGAGCAAAACTTTTCGAAACTTCTTGCAAAACCGGTCACCCTAGTGCCCTGGTATCAATGTGAATGGGGCGTCACCTATCGGACTCTTCGAGAACTAGCGGCATAAAACGTGGCGCTGCGTTATCCGGTCATTGTGCTTGTGTCAGTGGCAGGGGTCGGAGAGGTTGCGCTGAGGAAGCAACATGAGGGCAGTTATTCTAGCGGCGGGATACGGGACCAGGTAAGTTGATTTAATGTTAATTTTTACATTGAAATATATAGGCTTGAAATGTTTTGTGTTTTTTGAATGTCATAAGCTCCTGACATTTTTTTGCCTTCTTTCCAGGATGCAGAGGGATGTCGACGCGGACACGACCGGTCGGTACCGCCACCTATCGGGCGTGCCGAAACCTCTGCTTCCGGTGGCGGGGGCGCCACTAGCGAGCCACTGGATAGCTGCCCTGGAGGAGCTGGGCCGGCTCCAGGAGCCCGTGCCCGTGGACGAGGTGGTGGTGGTGGTCAACGCTGCCAACCGGGCCCGGTTCGAGCGCTGGCGAGACGGCCTGGCCACCAGTCTCAAGGTGACCCTGGTCTGCGACGGCGCCTCCAGCAACGAGACGCGGCCGGGCGCCATCGCGTGCATGGCGCTCGGAGTGGGCGACGGCACTGTCAGCGACGTGCTGTTCATCGGAGGGTGAGTTCGTCAAGCGTGAGTTTGTCAAGCGAACTATATCAGACACATGTGGGGGCAAAGGCTGGCCCTGTCCGGTCAGTTCAGTGGACTGACTCACCAATGAGCCCATTAAGTCCAGCCGTAGTGCAATAGGCATACGAAATACGAATCTGACGATAACGTAGTAGTTACGTATAAAGGGTTCAAATGCATGTTCCAGGTTAAGATTAACGTTTAAAATACCGGGTGCTAAATTTGAGCTGCAGAGGTGCTAGCGGTCACCAGACGTAAAATACCTACCTTTCATTTCCAATGTCAAAATGAAGACCGTAATCACTGTATTCGAAGCCGCTCACAAATAACTACTGTGCAGTGGTAGAGATAAAAGGGCGTCACAATGACGTCCGAGCACCACACCCGTATCGGCTGTCGGGTATCCGCAGAATCGGACCCCTGTCTCCGTTACAATCAGTGTGCCGCAGCGCTGTCCGCGGCTGACGCCTCCTGTTCCTCATGCTCGGCAGCCAGCCGGCGCACGGCGGCCCGGTCGCAGTAGTAGCAGGTCAGCTGGTCGTTATCGGTCGCAGAGCGACCGCCCAGGCTGCGGTAAAACCGCAGCGCCGGCTCGTTCCATCCGTACACGGTGAGGTCAATGTGCGGCGCTCCGCGGCGGACGGCAACGGCGGCGAGAGCGCGCATCAGGCGCCGCCCGACACCCAGCCGACGCGCCGACTCGCGCACAAATAAATCAGCCAGGAACAGGCAGCGGCCGATGCCGTCGTAACCGGCCCAGTTGAGAGTGTAGATGGCGTGTCCAATCAGCTCGCCGCCCCGGTCTGCTACCAGCGCCCAGAACACGCGCTCCGGACCGAACCCGTCCCGCTCCAGGTCCGCCACGCTCAGCTGTGGCAGCGTCATGTCGCGCTTCTCGAAGAGGTTGATGGCTTCCAGGTTGGCGTGCAGCTGGACGCAGTCGGTCACCACTGCGGGGCGGATGACCACGGCCGGCTCCGATTGACCGGCGGCGCCTCCAGACATGGCGGCTCAGCGATTGCAAGGGTATCGAGTTGTGCGGTCGCCGAGGTGGCTGCTCACTCGTTCACACTTTTCAGTGTTGGCTGCCGATTGGAAATGTGAAGACCGTGGATCAAAGATCACTGACTCAACACTCACAGACGCTCGTCACTTCCAGTTCGCTCACTGCTGGGGATGCACAGTTGCACTCTTTTCCTTGTTCACCGTCCCTTCGTGTTGTCACGTTGCCCCACGTGCTCAGGCCCGGTGCCGCCTCCCCTGTGACCGACGTGCCTCCGCGCTCAACACTGACAATCGTACTCTATGATCCTCACTGCTAGTAATCCGAGACATTGACGGGGCCGGGGAGCCGGGGAGGGGGTCTCCCAGGCGCCGACTGGAACACATGTTTAGTTTTGTTAGGCAGGGGCGCAGTCAGGGGCTAGTGTAGGCGGGAGCGCCCGAAACGGTTTACCTACCTAACGTTATGCTCCCGTGCAATGGGTAGAGAAATCGATGCAGCCTAAGGAAAACGGCAGAAAAAAAGATATATAACTTACGGGACAGTAGTTAGGCATCGAATTGTGCTTGACTTGAGTTCTATCCCCATGCATGTGACGTGCTGAAGACGCGCATTCAGCGTAACGTAAGCATGGCGACCGGCGACGTGATGATTGCAGGACAGCTGTCACAAGAAGCTATTCAGGGCAAGGACATGTAACCTATTTCACGCGCGGCGACAGACGTTCCGTTCCCATTGACCCCATCTATCACGAAGGAATGAGATAAACAGTAAACACATTTTAACCAACCACCACACATCGACACGGTGTCTTACACGTAATAGACGGTTGGTGCTGGTACACACTTCTTCCGGTAAGCAGCCCTGGTTTATGTGAACTTTTAAAAGATCCTTAATTATTGAGTTGCTGAATTGGATTGTCGTATTAGGACAATCCAGTTCAGCATTCACATACTTATGGAACTGCTCGCAGCCGGGCAACCAGAAACCATGTGAACCAACGCTGTGGGTGAGCACTGTTCATTGTAGTCGTCTTACAGTCCGTGTCCCCCCAAACTCTTATCTACACCGTTAGGTACGGTGTCCGGTGTCCCCATGAGTGAATGTGTCTGTAACCCATGCTGTTCCGTTTCTCAGGGACACACTGTTTCCGGCCGAGTTCCGTCTCTCCGAGTTCCTATCGGCGGTGCGCCGGGAGCTGACCGCTGACCCGCGCTCCTGTCACGTGGTCTCCGTACCCTGTCCGACGGAGGAGGTCAGCCGACGCGGCATCATCGAGATCGACGAGACGCGCCGCATCGTCGGCTTCAAAGAGAAGCCGCAGCCCAGCGAGACCAGCTCCCGACTGCAGGTGATGATTGAAGATCGACCCGTCATAGTTCAACTGTAGGGTTTCAGTGCTGAACGGCAGGTAGCGGATTGTGATAGTTGGCAGGGGTGTTGTGACCGTACTGATTACTCGCCTCCGGAAATTTTGCAAAAAAAGTTCCTAGTATGTAAGCGCACTGCAAAGCAGTCCCACCTAATTATTTTACGTTTATTTTTGTCAGGTAGATAACCTATCACGATGGTTGCAACCAGCGCCAGCCGGAGGGTTCCCACCTACCGATAGCCATTAGGTACATATGTACGGTATGTAACCCTCCGCATTCTAACCTTTATTCTGCGGTGTTTCTGCAGTGTCCGTGTTTCTACTTCATTCCGGCTGCCAGTCTGTCGCACCTGACGTCCTACCTGGCACACCACCCTTCTTTGGCCGAGCGGGACGCCACCGGTCTGCTGGTGGCAGACCTGGCGCAGCGGGAGCGAGTCGTGGCGCACCCGGCTCCGTCGCGCTACGACGTCGGCAGTCTAGCGAGCTACCTGCAGTGCTGCCGGGAGTTGGAGGCGGCAGGAGTCGGAGACGGGCCGCGGGCGAGCAGCTGAGGAGCGCAGGATCTGGGAATGTTCGCTGCCAAGGAACTGAGGAGCTACTCTGTGGGCGGTGGACGTCTCTTACAATGTATAGGCGACGGAATGGACAATGCGTTGAGCAGAGTGGACGGTGGGCTCAATGGAAGCCGTCGCTGGTGCGGTTTCAACGTGATTCGTCTCAGTGGGCAGATATTTGATTGACGCTCGAATTTGATGTCTATTCGATTGTTGTTTGTGTAAATTAATATACTTTCTTATTTCTTGGAACCGTCCTGGTTTGGTTCAGAGTATTAAGAATGACAGCCCAGCCAGCAAGAAAAGTGTCCGTTTCGGCCCATCCTGAGCCAAACGGCGCGGTCGATATTGTGCCGAAAAGCCTAGTTCGAGCCACTTCGCCCTGCGCTCTGGCCTTGCATCCGACATAGCTGCACCCTGCAGTCAGTGGCAGTGCCTACAATACAATGGGTGAAGTCAATGAGCGGATCCGGTCGTGCCCGACTATGTTTACACGTTAAACGTTCGCGGTTCGACTCTTTTACGCTAGAGTAGGTACCTACCTATCTGACGGTGTAGCCAGAATCTGTGGATTTTCCATAGTCACCGTGGATTTTCCCGTGTCAGTGTAGGATAGCCCTTTGCTTGGCCCTTTGTGTGGCAGTAGCGGCGGAACACCTTCAATTAAGGGGGGGGGGGGGCACTGCCGACTTTTGGTCCCATTCTTTTCATGCAACACCCATAGGGCTAATGTTAAAATGCCAAAATCAAAGGGGGCACGGTGCCCCGGTGCCCTCCCCGTTCCGCCGCCTATGTAATGTGTGGGTATAGGTGTCAGCTGTCACTTGTCAGGACTCATACGATAAGCCCTGCTCAGCAAGGAATCTCGTTCATACATGAGCAGTGAGCACAGGGGCCTTGACAGGGATGTGAACGGGGACCGCGGTCCGCGGTAGGGGTCGGGGAGGGGGGGGGGGCGGGGGGGGGGGGGGGGGGCAGACCCACCTCCCTGGCCGCCAGGGGCACCGGCACTGCGGAAAGAGAGGGTTTAGGGCATCACCCCTCGGCCCTCGCTAGTGAAAACAGTCATGTGAGGAGAGGGCACGCCCAAGGCGTCAATGGACACTGGGAGGGATTTTCAGCCCCTCAACCCATCCCCTTCCCGCGCCACTGCCGTCTGCCGGCCCGGACTTGCGATGTAGGTCAAGGTGTGACTGTGGTGCACACAGCCCGATCCAGTTCACTCAGTCGTAATCCAAGATCCCGATTCTTGGAGGGATGTAAGGCGATTTTTCCTAGCCTACAATAATAATACGCCCGAAAAAATGTACGATATTGATTCATAGGACTCCCGGATGAAGTAGTGACACCATTCTAGTGCTGGTAAGCGCTGACAATACAATCGTTATCGATGCAACTATCGATAGCTCTTTGATAATTTCTCCTTATTCTGAATAATGCTTTGAAATAAAATAAAATATGTGTGTTTTAGCAATGAACTAATTTATTAGAATCTTGTCTGTCAAAGTATACCGAAAGAAAGAGACGAACTATCTACACTATCGACAGCACTGAACATAATCGATAGACTCCGCAGCTGTTTACTGCCGAGAGTGCTCGGTGGGGTCGCGGGTGTCGTCGCTCGCGGATTTTTCGTTTACCAATTTTTGGAACAGCTACACTGTTGTCATCCTCCATTTCTTCACACAATGTAAGTTTTTTTGTGATATAAGTGTGTGTTTCACCCCTGAATGTCGTATAGCTACAATATCTTTTGTGCGCCTATTTCGTCGCAAACGATTTGTTTACGTTCTTTGTGCCGTTTGCGTCGTATTTTATTGATAATTTCAATTATTCTAGACGTTCAGAGGCCAGGATAGTATCAAAAGCTGATAGCATTTTATATATTCAACACTTTTCTGTCAAAACCCAACAGTTTTTGGTAATGTAAGTGCTCAAAATTCAAACTTGTTCATTCAGAATCTTTTGTCAGTTTTAAGTCTTATGTGTGCTGGTTGGTTCTCATGCTGCTTCTTATAGTTTTGATAAATTGTAATTATCAGAATCAAATTTATTTAGGGGTTGTCTGTAATGTAACGCAAAGCACCTAGTAGGTAGGTACCCACTTAATCCAAAGGCATCGTCCCCGGCTCTCACCATCACATTCTTGATTTTCCAATTGTCACATGGTATTTATTTTCCTAAGGACTGACAGCCATAACTTTCATTGCGAAGCCCAAGTAATAGTATAAAGCATATCACATGACATAATTTGACCGCCTGAAGCCCAACCACTTAACCTACTTTTTGACTTACAACCACTTTGACTTACCATTGCTTGCAATCTTCATGTGAGTAAATTATTACTTGTCCATGGGTAGGCAAAAATCAGTAGGTCAGGTTAGGTGACATTATGTTTCTTTTTAACATTTTGGTGCCATGTAACCATCATATCTGGATTTAGGATGTGAAAAAATGAAAGAATGTGTAAAACTTACCTTTGAAAATTGTGCCAGTCCTAAAGTAAATATTACCGCTGTCACATAAGGTAGGTACAGTCTGTGGAATCTTTTGCTACTCTGGGATAAGCTGCAGATCATCAGTTCCAAGCCTATATTTTCCTGATCCTAATTCTTCTGGGGATAGTGCAGTGCATTCTTTGAAGGTGATATTGTTTTGTGGCTTTTGTTGTCTTGACTTTCTGCCCTGGAGGTTAAGTGCCTTGACTTTCAGGACCAACAGGATTGGGGATTCTCAAAGTCTGTGGGGAATCAGCTTGCATGATCACACATTTCAGTGGCCCACACCCTGTAAAAGCACTTGAACTGATCTCAGGCTTAGAGAGGGCTGATTCCCTTTGGAGAATGTCACACACTGATCTAGGGCACACACTGTCCTTGGGGGCCTGTTGGATAGGATCTTATGACAGAGAGGATTCAGGAAGTCTGTGGCCCCAAGGTTCTGAGCCCCAATTATCCCAAGAGATCTCCAGCCCTGATCCAATTGATGCTAGACTACCTGTATGCTGTTATCATTATTCAATTTGGAATGATTATGTATGGAAATCAGAATTTCATTGATGATCCCAACTGGTAGCAAATATGATCGTGAAGTTTTTGACAAGCAAACTAGAAGCATAGTGTCAAGCTAAACAATATCAACTTCAGATCCAGAGTCCAGAGTCCATAATATTTGGTGGACAGAACTGTGGACTCTGACTGACTACAACACTGACTCTGCTCAGCTCTCCATTAAAATCATATTTTGTTGCATTGCTCATTGATGTTGGATCTAGCTGTCAATTTTATGTGGAAGTTCTTTCTGCACCGTGTATTATTTTGAATTGCTCTTCTATTACCTATGTAGGTTTATTTGCTGAAAAGGAATTAAAGCTCATTCATTTTGAGTGTTTGGTATCATGGGGATTGGCTTCTTCTTCAAATACCGGGCTTCTCACAAAAGTCGGACCAATTTCTTTTGCAGATAGTGGACTGGAAACAATATTTAAACGAAACAAATGTACGTGAAAAGAAAGCAAATTTTTAGGAGATTTATATGATACCATACTTGTTGAGTTTAAAAAATGAAACTGTGGTCTTAAGACGCAAAAGCAAACTCAAAGAAATTCTACTTTCAGAATAAGTCGGTCGTTTCATCACAACGGAACTTCCGCAATCTTTTTTTTTTTGCAAAGTGAACACCATCTTGAAATGCTATATTCCACATTGTTGAAAGTTTCTGGGCCGAGGAAATGTTAACTGCTGGTTCAAAGAACACAGCGGCGGCTGCAAACCCAATCAAAGAAGCCCGGCGAACGTCGCTCGTGTGAGAGATGCGCTACCAAGGCTGTCAACGGTCAGTGATACCGGATGACCCTGACAAATTTTTGGAGTGTCCTGCAGACCACAATGGGCAGCGATCCTGAAGCACTCAAATGCCAATAGTTCCAGCTAGACTAGACGTTTCCACGGCCAATACCGCTAAAGAAAACCGGGAGTGGGTGCAGGAGCGCTCCGGGCAGCGTGTGATCTCGAGGTTTGAGACACATCTGTGACCAGCGAGCTCCCCGGACTTGACCCCATCGGACTTTTTCCTGTAGGACCACCTCAAGTCCCAGGTGTTCCGAAACCACCCAAGAAGTCCCAAAGACCTGAAGGGTGCAGTGCGGTCGGCAGTGTGTTCAGCTGCCACCTTCCGTGTGCCGTGCTGCAACAGAGGCCGCGCTGCGCCGGGCTTAACTTTGCATCGAGCGAAACGGGGGTCATCTCGAACAGGCTCGGCGCGGCTCAGTTAGGCGATCGCCGACGGTCGAAATCCCCTGAAACAAAACATTTTTAACCAGGCTTTCAAGTGATGCCTGATTTATTTTTGTAACACTAACACATCCTAAAATATATTAATTATAAATTCATCCGACTTTTGTGAGAAGCCCGGTATGTATTCGTGGAACATGCTCTTATTATCTTGAGAGATGGGAGATCAGTTGAACAGCAAGGTCATTCAGAGCAGGCAGTGTCTCCTGCCCAGGAGCTGCTGCTAGTGCTGTTTTGTCTGGACTTTCCCCTCAATAATTACTCGTATGTGACACTCAGGAGATATGCTCAACCCTTTTCAGAATATCATGTCAACTGATAAAGACAACACTGAGGGCTCGGTTAATAATGTTCAGTAAGATATAAATTGCTTCACTTTTATTTTCTTGTGAATATTTTAGCATGCATTAAACATTTTTTATCAAGTAAATTTTTCACAAGTACGACCATAGAACAATTTGGCATCATGCCTACTGAGCATTACTTTTTAAAAGAACATATTTGGCATATTACTATTCGATCAATTTGGCTGCCTTTTGGGCTCTTTCTTGCTCAGCTGGCAATATAATATGCTGTAAACAGCTTGCATTCTAATTTTTATATAGGTAATGTGCTTTTCAATCTTTGACCTGTAAAATGGCTTGAGCTACATTGTTAGTGAAATCCAATCTTATTTCAATGGACTGCTACTTTTCTGTCTCATTTGACTTGTTCCCATGAGTATTTTTACTCGTGTTTCTTTTGCCATTGACCTTGCTTCTAATGCCCATTTTTAGATGATTCCTAGAGGATGCAGTTGCTTGCTGCCCATCTTACCAGTGTTCATGTCCATCTGCTTATGCTATCAAAAGTGTGCTGCAGACCGGTGTATGATAGTTGGCCGCAGCCTAACTGAGCAGTGCAGACCAGTGACATCGTGTGACTGTGCACAGGTCGACGGAGGGCGGAGTACCGGGGGAG